GAGCTAATCTATTTATATACATATATATTTTTAAAAAGACATCTCAAACCTCAGCCGTGCTATTAAGGAGAGTGATGATTCATTCATGCTCATACAGTAGTAATGATCCTCAGATTTATAAACGTGCGGTAGTGTCAGATCCTAATCTGAAGGAAACGTGGGTCGTTTGATTTTCTTTCAGAGTATTCTTTCCTGTACAAGTGATTCACAGGCTGTAACCCTCACAGTGCATATGTGTAACACATGTCAGGATTTAAAAAGAAGGTAATGGCTTTTGCTGATGAAAGACTTTAAAACATTTCCCTCAAATGCATGTGTAAAACACATCATATATGCAAATATAGATATGGCCTGCATCTACATATATACATCCCTACCCCCAACCCACACAGGCCTGTTTCAGGAGGTCCTCTTGGACTTTAAAATATAAGACAAATTTATTCTGAGTGCCATGACTGCTGTTCCACAAATATCAGAAAATGAAATTATCCATTTCTTCTTTTAGATTAGGGTGAAGACAACCTAGTTCAGAGTTCACTTCTTCTTTTGATTGGGAGTATTGAATCTAGTATTGGGTTGGGTTCATAATTTCCAAACCCCAGGGCCCTGGACTAGAGATAGGAAACTACACCCAAAGACTTGATGGCAGAGCACCCCTGGAACATCGATGTCTCCCTGCCTTCAAAAGCCTATCTTCTAAGCTAAGACAAATGGACAGCAACTTTTTAATTTAGTTGAGTGGAGGTAAAAGAGTCTTTGTGTTTTCCTTTGCTAAAAGTAGCTCTGGAAGAAATGAAACCTAAGGAAAAGTTACAACAGCTGGTAAGTACAAAAAGGGAATTAAGGAACTTTTAGGGTAACATCAGTGTTTAGATTTGTCCAGGTACTTGTGAAGATCACAGGCAGGTACGTCATTTGAGGGCCTTGGAGAAAGCATGGTGAGATAAGTTAGGTAGACAGAAAAGGTCTACGTGGTTTCTGGGGAGAGATGGAGCAGCTCTGTGGAAGAGCTGGAGTGCACATAGAGGGGAGCAAAGGTAACTGCTGCTGACCCTGGTCCTCCCATGCCACCCCTCTGGGCCTCTGGTCTACATCCCCCCAAATACTTTTACACTCTGATAAGCTCTCCTATCTTGTTACAGTTACTTCATGTTTAAAAATCTTACTCTTACTCTGGAAGAAAAAAGAAATAATGGAAGGGGGTTTTTTTTCCCTCTCAATTTCAACCTCATCAAAAATTTTAATAATAGTAAGATGAGCCAGCATACAGATGGTATGTTTTAATCTGTTCAAAGTACGTGATATTTATTGGGTTAGTTAAGCTTTTGTCAGACTGGGAACATGCAATACTGTAAAGGAAAGAACAGATTAATTGTGATTAATTTAAGGTGGGAGGAGTATGAATAGATACCTGGATAGAATTAAGAAGGGGAAACAAAAAATCAGGTGACAGCATCAAATATTTTGTATTAATTCTCAAATTATCAATATGATTTGTAGAAATATCTGATTTCCCTCTTATCCAAGACATCATTTATTTTAGAACTGTAATAATAATTTTTAAATACTATCGATAGCCTGTTTTTGCTCATGGCTAATTTCTGTCTCAGCATGATTTTTAGGATTTCAGCATTCCTTACTGATCTGGATTTGGATCTCTCTCTCTTTTTTTTTTGGTTATCATTTTTTAAAAATGTCTAAGTCAGTGAAATACTGTATATGTGAAAAAGGAATTAATCAAATGAGTTTATTTATGTAAGAGTATTATGGTATATTACTGAGAAATAGACCTCATGTGATACAAATGAAAGAACACAGAACTTAAAGTCACATTCAAGTCAGAGTCCTGTCACTTTTTATCTGTGTAGCCATTAACCAGTTTCTTGGCCTCAGTTTCCTCCTCCACAAATGGGAAAAATGATACATGTTTTGCCTACATTTCAGTATTATTTCAGAATAAAATGAGAATGAATATGTATTCATTTTGAAATTTGTGAAGTGCTATTCAGATAAAAATAAATATTGTTTACAGACAAATACAAACAAACAGTATTTTAATTGTAACTTTACCAAACATAACCTATTAAACCATGGAACTTTAAGATGTTGATGTCTGGGGCATCAAATTTACTTTTCACTTTTATCCAAATGAAGACATTATAACAAAAATGGAATGCCATCCTTTCTTTTTGAAAAATTGGTGTAGGTGTTAAATTGATCTTAAATGTAATTGTTTGAAGGGATCACTTAGCAGGTACTTCATAGTTCATTCAAGTATACATGGAGACATTGAGATCAGAGGGGCTCACCCTTTTTAGAGACTAAAATCCCTTTAAGAATCTAGTAAAAGCTAAAGATCCTCTTCCAGAAAAATATTCATATCATATACAGAATTTTGCATGGCATTTCAAAGGTGTTCATATCCATGGAGCCTAATAAAAACCACATCTCCACCTTAGATTGACATATAGTAAAACTTGGATGATATGGCTTCTTCCCTTTCAGATTTCTGGGTTTTCCAGACTATTGTGGTCTTATATTATAGACTATTATAGAAATTGTGTTCCTGCCCAGCTGCACTTCTACCCATCCTTGCTTTAGCTATATTCCATCTAAGGTCTGTCTCTTAAACAGTCCTGATTCCTGTGTTCAGTCCACCCCCACCATTGCCGTTCTCCAGCATTTTTCATCAGTGCTCATTCCCAGTGGAGGCAGTAAGGGAGGGAAGAGAGGCTATGAACCAGGCTAACAAATGCAAGAAGCAGAGGCTTTGGACAGAAATGGCAGTTGCATGTAGTTCCAGTGCTACCAGATTGGGTTGCACCAAGACTGAAACAGAGGTAATTAGTCTGAAAAACTAAGCTGTTAAGATTTTCACCAACTTACAATTCTACTAATCCTAAACAGTCAAGTATTTGAAATTCTTTGTTACTGGGTTAATTTGTAAGCAGCTCTTCATTGAGATCCTCTGAATTTGACCCTTCTATACGTCTGATACTATAACGTGAAGGTGATTTTTAAACTAGAGGACTATAACAGTGTGAGGGGGGAATCGTGCTAGATTATAATGTGATTTGATGTGATGTGAAGAAAAGTCGCATGTCATTACTTCCATTGTGTGAAATATTAGCCAGATGGACAAACAAACCAAAGCTTTTTTTCCTCTGGTACTCCATGTAACAACTGTATATTTTTCCAGGTTTGTAGAATTTTAATCCCTCGATTTTCTACTCTTGCTCTAAATATTCAGCCTATTCAACTCTTAATTTTGTATCCTTTCACAAACAGTCTACAATATTTAGTGTCTTCACACACCGCCATCTTAAATAAGTCAGCGTATGTTAACAACAACCGCAACAAAATCCAGGACAAATATTTTAAAATGCAGACATTCTTAGAATACCAGAAGAGCGTGTTCTTATTTTGTAACTTCAGCAGCAATCGCTCCAGATCTCTAAAAGTGTTCGTCTAGAAAATGAGAATAAGGACATCCAAGTTCTTCATGGGCCAGGTGGCTTCACTATTGTGGAATTTGGGGTTTTATTATCTAATGTCGGTTTAAATTTTTATATTCTAGTGCCAGCGTGCTCCAATGAGAATCTATTTTTAAAATAAAATGTAGAAGGTAGCAAACTACTTAACAATGAATGTTAAGTATTGAATTTGAGTATTATCTTATGCTTTTAAAAATATTAATTGGTATTGCATGGTGAATTTTTGTAGTAATATTGTGACTTTGAGAACCAACATTTATTTTAAGATTTCCAAGTTGTATAAGCAGAAAACACAGAGCGCAAAGCTTTAAGGTGTGGAAATCTGCTGAGGCAGCATTAACGGTGAGTTAGATCCCCATTAGGTAGCACTCAGTGGAAGGGGATGTGCATATGCCGGATTTAAAGCAATTTAAAAGAGAGCGACACATCTTTGCTTCAGAATGCCAACAGGCATCATTTGGTATCAGAAGCGTGGCTTATAGTGTTCACTGTATGAGCTTTCATCACCATTCAGAATCCTCTCTTTTTTTAAAATGCGGTAATATATTTTTGGTAGACAATTCATAGAAATTAATTGCAAATGATAGAGAAATTGCTCTTTTTTAGAGAGAGAAAAGACAGTTGATGCAAAGAAATAGTAAGGGCATGGCTATGAAATTCAAGACTACTACTTAGTATATTTTAAGTAACTTTTTATTAAGTTTTGTTACATCTGTTGTGTCAAATTAGGGTCACTAGTGTTAGTAGATTAAAACCTTTTGTGATTATTTTGATTTAGAACTGTTATTTTTCAGTTTCTTCATCTTGCAGACCACTGATGAATTCTTCAGTTTCTTCAGACCAAACAGCTCTTTTTTAAATTTTAGAACCATTTAATTTTATAGAAATGACACGCTATAGACGGACTTTAAGTATAATAGTTTGTCGATATAAAGAAATAATTAGAAAGAGAAATGATATTGATAGGCTTTGAAGAGAAAGATCTTTGTGGGCGTTTAAAGCAGCGAGGAATTACAAGGCGATGGTGAAGAGCAGGCTACTGAACTGGAGAAGTCAAAGCAAGATATCTTCCTTTACTCACGTGCCGTCTACTGAAAATTAGAAGTTAGTTCCAAGCAGCTAGCAGTGAACCCCAGGTGCTAACTTCCCTGAAGCACTGAAATAGGAAGTGGTGGAAGAAACTCGTAAAGGAAACCTTCAGGGATTCCTCCTTTTTTCCCCTGTGATCCCTTTAATCCTTGAATTGTCAGACCACATGGAAAATAATAGAGCTGCATAGTTGTAAGACTTAAGTGGCATTCTCTTTTTAAAGGAAAATATTAGGTCTTTTCACATCTCTGGACAAGAATAGGGCATGTGTTCAGGGTAGAAAAGACTAACTTTGAACAAGAAACGCATCTTGCTTTTTCATTTTTAATATAATATTATTATTATCTATGACTAAGCAGGCTGCACCCAGTAGGGAAAAAATTATAGCTAATGTTTTATTTTCCTTTTTTAAAACAGATGATTCAACGAGAAGCAGATGTAAAAAGTAAGGTAACTGCTGTGGCGTTGACAGATTCTGTTCACAATGTGTGGCATCAAGAAGCTGGCAAAACGATTCGAGAATGGATGAGAGAGGTGAGACTGGATTTTTTCAATGCTGAGATGAATGAGTGTGAGCCTTTATATCTTGAGCCCCCACCAACTTATATCACCTCCCACCCCCAAACTCACTTTCTAGAGGCAGAAAATTTAGAGGGAATAGAAAAAATGAGATATGATTGAAATAATAATATAAAACCCTTCTGAAGAACAAATACTTTTTTGAAAGCCCTTTTCCCTTTTTTTGGCTTTCTATAGAATATATGTATGCATACAATATATAGTAGGAACTCTGGCCGAAGAAGGTCATAATCTGTTAAGAGATCATTATTCCCTGATATTTAGTTTTTCCACCAGCTATTTAGCATTGCTGCTGCTTAATTACAAGAAAGCAGTTTAAAGTACACTGCATCTCATCCTTTTCTTGAAAGGTGGTCAGTATGTTCCACTCTTAAATGGATTGGCACACTACTACTGGTAGGGGAAGAAGTAAAAAGCTGAAGATGTTTCCCAGACTCTTGAGCTAGGAGAAACCTAGGGGCTGGTCATGGTCCAGCCTCAGACTAAGAAAGTTTCTTTTCACACTTCCTAAGGCTGGTGAACCTGAAAACTAACAAGGACTTATTGAACTTGCTCCCATCTTTCTAAAAACTTTCACTCCATTGTTTCTTTTATTCCTATTGCAATATAAAACTGAAATATCTTTTTATTTATATTTACCTTTCTGATGTTACAAGCAATTGACATTAGCCACACTATAGCAATTGTTTAGTCAAATCATATACTTAGATCTGTACCAATAAGCTTGTTGAGCTTCCTGACTTTCACCCAGTTTTTGTTTATAGAATACCCAGACATTTATCTGGCTGACCTCTCATCACAGATATCGTGGGTAACTTCTCCAGCCCTTGTGTTGCACTGTAAGGACCAGAGAGTTAATGTTTAAAAAGAGTGTTGAATAAATAGAAGGACTAGGCATATAATCCCATAGGGTGTTAACATAATGTCACCAGTCTGTTTTGACTGTTGTTATTCTCCATTAGAAAAAGTACTTTCATCATCCAAAAGTCCAAAATATTTTTATTCCATTCCTCATAATGCTATTAAATGTATGAAGGTAGGTTTTTAATCTATTCTAACACCCAGGTGTTTTTCTGACCACATTGCTTTTCATGTTTCTCTGTCCACAAGTTATCTACATCCCTAATTGTCTTTTCCAAGGGCTTAAACTTTTTTAAGAGAAATTTTGTGTATTTCATGCCTATACTTTTTTTGTGCTATTTGTCTGTCAAATGGGGGCAGGGACAGTTCCCAGCATTATATAAGTAGGAGAGTTAATAAATTAGCTGTTAGTACCTTTCCCCCCCACACAAAACCAATATGGAGTGTAATACTTGTCCCAAACTAGAAACAGCCCTGTTCCTCATTTTTCAATTGGGAGTTCTTCATGTCTCATTCCAGGTGACAAATACAGCAAAATTTATTTAGCTTTACTTCTTTAAGTATTTCTAACTAAGACTCGATTAGGTATCCCCTTCAAATTCAGAACATATTAATCTGTGCATTTTTTCATCTGACTGAAATAGACAGTAGTTGAAATCATCTTAATTTAATCAGAGCTGTCATTAATTTCTTTGCAAGCATGGCTTTTATAAAATTTTTTAAATTTTTATAAATGACCTAGTTCTTGAATAGTTCTTTCAATTCCCTCGATTATGCCTTAGGCATGAAGCAGCATGAAGAGTTTTTTATTATGACATACCAAAATTCAAACCACACTCAGTCACTTACCTAGCTGTGTAGTCTTGAGCAAATTATTTAATCTCTTTGAGATTCAATTTTCTCATCTATAAAATATAATATGTACCTTGCAAACATGGTTGGGAAATAACATATGTACAGAAATAGCATAGTTGTTGGCACTTTAAAGAATCTCAGTAAATCATAGCTATTATTGTTGTTACCTTCTCACCCCCAAATAATATAAAATACATGAGCTGTATTCTTCTTTTCTTTATGATTTGCATATGGAAAATAACTTACAAAAGAGGAGCAGTTCAGAACAAGGAATTAGGAGAACTGAGTTCTGATAATGATTCTGGCTTAGTCCCTCACTAGGTAAATCAGTAATGTACCAGGTACTTTGTCTCCTAAGACTCATTGTCTTGGGAAATCCACTCCATCTTTCTGGGCCTATTTCATAATTTTGAATTAGAGATAATAATTCTTATTCCATCTACATCATGAACTATTGTGAGAATCAAAGGTGGTAACCAAGAAGAAAACCCCTTGAAAAGCAAATGATACTACTAAAGAAATGAAATGTGTTATTATAGAAAACACTATAATATCCTGGAGATAAAAATTATTAGATCGTTGTTGATGGAGCTCTGAAATTATCCCTGCTCAAAGCTCTTCCCTAAAACAAGAACAGAAAGGGAGACTATAGAAGTCTATGCCAGGTACCCTTGTCAGTAAGTGTGTGATCCCCTAGTAGAGAATTCAGTGTGGTTTGGCAAGATGAGCCCAGTGTTTCCCAACATTCAGGAAGAAACTCCATCCCCTCTTCTTTCTCCTTTTTTAGTCCCTGTCTGTCTTTTGGCCTCTCAGTGATTGGCTCCATTATTTCACCAAACATTGCTTTCAAATTTGTAAGTAGGATGGTGGTACAAATTGCCTAGCCATTCCTATTATACTACAAATTAGTAAAACTTCTTTGTTTTGTTGTGGAATCTACAAAAGTTGAATACATAGAAGAGTGGAGGACAGTGGTCACCAGTGGTGGGGAGGTGGGGGAAATAGATGTTGATCAAAGTGTACAAAGTTGCAGTTCTGTAGGCTGCATAAGTTGAGAGACCTGATGTTCAGCATGATGAGTGTATTTAATAATACTGTATTGGATACTGGAAATTTGCTAAGAGAATAGATTTCAGGTTCTCTCACCACACGTGCAAAAGAGTGGCAACCATGTGAGAAGATATGTTAATTAGCTTGACTGTAGTAATCATTTCACTGTGTATATGTATATGAGATTCTCAGGTTGTATTCCTTAATATGTCGTTTTTATTTGGGAAAAAAAAAGGCTAAGTAGGTAAATGCCATTTCCTGACATAGCTCTGGCCTCTGAAAGTCTCCATCTAAGCCAGATGTGTGGTTCAACATAATGGTGGAGAACCCTTACCCATCACCATTCGACTCTGAGAGTCAGGCCTGGAAACAGCCTGGTGAATCCTAGTCGTTCTTGTCTGAGGACACAGTGCCTTCTATATTAAAGATCAGCCTCCAAGACATTGGTGATTTACAACTTAGGCAAATGAAATAAAAATGAATAAAAACCTAAACTCAATCCGGGCAACAAGCATCTCCGAATACTTCCAAATACCTTGCACAGGAATACCTACTACCTACTTTTCTCTTTAAACATAATGTACTAAGTTTTAACCTTTTTATTAAAAATTTTAATTCATTTCATTTCTACACTGAAATATTGTCAACCCTTGGTTCAGATGTCAAAGAGAGTCACTCAGCGCTATGGCCTACAGGCACTTCTAGTCTGTGTTAATAGTTTCCAAGCTGTAGAATTTCACAAAGAAGACAATTTACAACCACAAAAACCTGTAAAGTCATAATTTCAGAGTAAGGGAACTTTAAATTGAAAGCACTTAACTTTAAGAAACACCCACAATATTGCCTCTTTTTCTCTTTTTCCTTAGACCCAGAAAAACTCTAGTTTCATGGCCCATCCCAGTTTGCTGGCTCTGGCCAAGGGCTTCTTTCTCTCTGCTTGTTGGTTGGGATGACGTGGGGCTGCATCCGAGGCTCAGGCGTGGCTCTGTTGGTACCTCTGGTCCAGCATGCCTTGTTGTCTGCTCAGAGCGCCTGAGAAGAAGACCTCGGGGGGCTGGGAACTCTCTCCAGCATGTGTGGAGTTTAGGTAGGGCTTTCCTAGTGGGCTGCCTCTGGTGCCATCCAGGACACTTTGCTAGTGTTCATCTCAACTGAAGAACTGGGGTGGGGGGCAAATTGGGACGTTGAGAAGAGGGAGAGAATAAGCATTAGAAAAACAATAAAAGAGATTTCTTTTGTAAACTATAGAAATGCATCTCAGAATAGGGAGTTACATTTGGTAAGATGGAATTTTAGATCGAATTCATATGTAAAGGCTGTTTATCTTTCTCTTATTTCTTTCTTTACATATATCTCCCAGTATGTTTACATTATTTTATTTCATTATACTCTATCACATGGCAAACATTTTCTTAGCTTGTTTTGCCCTTTTTTCTGTATATTTTTCTATGTGGGGTAAAAATGTCAAACATACATCACACATGCACGCACACATGTACACTCGTCAAACTTTTAGTATCGAACCTGTACAATCCTACACAAGTACTTTGTCATTCCAGAGAACTTTTGGACATATTCACTTTAACTGTAGGGTGTTTAGTTTCTATCCTATTTTTGTGAGAGATCAAAGCCTAAACACGTACCTAGATAAAAACTGAAATTTCAGACTCATAAAATGTTAACCTATATTTTGCTTTAAATATTTGAGTTAAAGGTGACCTGGATAAAATCCGTTTTGTTCAGCATTTTAAAGTCAATGATAATGAATTAGAAAATGATTAATCACCTGCATATTGTAATGTACCGTCACTTTTATTAATACTAGAAATATCTATAAGACAGTTTTACATATGTAAAATGTAAGGGAGCAGTATTAAGACTGACATATCACCTGGGTAATAGCCAACTTTCATCAGAGGTGGAGGTACTACTAGGATGAATAATAATTAAAATATATACCTAATCGCTGCCTGTCTGTCGGTAGTGCTAATTGCTGTCATTGAAAAGACTGAATTGTTTAAGAAAAAGAGAGAGAAAGAGAAAGTCATTCTTCATTGAAGCTATCTCCCTGTATCATTGGGAGCCTATTTTTAGTACCTATAGAAGTCATGATTTTTGAATTTATTAGGGGCTGTGATGAATGATAAAACAAATCATCCATTTGCATATCTTGACACTGCTTTGGAGAATACTTATTTCTTACAAGCAAGTGTCACATTGTATATAAAAGCTGGCTAATTGTGTGCTAATCTTCTGCATTACCTAGAACTCTCTGATGTGGTATTCTATCAATAGTAATATTAATTTTACTTATTTCAAATGTATGAAATATCTTCTAAAACCCTATTTCTTTTATAATTTCTGCTCTCTTACATTGTATAATTTTGCATTCAGCTGCTAATTAAGATTAGGAGTGCAAGTTATAGAATATGTATCCACTTTAAACCCTCAAGCTTTTGTAATACATGAAAATACTAATATTTTTTCCATTTTAAATGTAAAAAGAGAGAAAGCATTTAAGAACATTACTAGATGTTGTGTTTGTTTTCATGGGTTTTTTTCCACGCAGTTCAATAGTTTCATTGATCTACTGTTTCTTACAAAAATCTGCCATGCTTTGTGAACTTCACTTTCTAATCTCATACAGCAACCCTTCCTTTATGTTATTCCTGCTCTCCCTGGTCCCAGAACAGTAGGGTTGCCTTGACAAATCTATTCAAAAGCCATTCCTCGGCCTTTATTGGTGGGGACTGGGGCCTTTGAAATTCTCTCCTCACTGCAACACAGCTGACATCTTCTTCCAGACAGAATGAATTAAGGAAATACAATAAGACACTTGATCTACCAGTCAAGGATCTTTCCACAGTGAGGACGGATTCCATGGTGCACAACCAGTGCAGCAAGCATCTAAAAATACACAATACATGCTTGTTTACTAGAATAACAATCAGCGATTTTTCCAACATGATTGATAGGACGATTTCTTTTAAAATAAGATCTGTCTGGAAATTCTTTGTGTGTGTGTGTGTGTGTGTGTGTATGTGTGTGTGTTCTGAAAATTTTTTATAAGTTGTATGTGGTTAATCATATTTTTTAAGCCAGACTTCAAATACAGACTTAGAATGTATGGAAGGAATATAGGTTATTTTTATTTCATTTGTCTGAGTTGTTAATCATCTTAGAGGTTGATTTTTAATATTGAATGCTTTGTGTCCTCAGACACACAGCTACAATTCACAAGGTTGTGTTTCTTTTGAACTATTGATACAGCCTTCATTGAACCAGGTTGAAGTAAAAATTAAAAGATATATTTATATGGGCCAGATTTTGAGGAGTAATTGTAAAATTTGTTTCTTCTAGTATTACAAAGATGAAGAATATAGTTTAAAAATGAAGCTATTCTTTCACATGTTTAAATTAATATTTATCTCCATCTAAAGTCAAAAATGGACACTCTTTTCAATTTCCCTTAATTATAATCCTAACCTTCTCTTACAAATATATTGCATCATGGTTCACAGAAAGTTACATGTCTTCTTAATGTCAGTGCAGTTGATTGGCTGAATTGTAGCAGATAAGCTTTTTCCCACAGTCATGTTGGTCATAAATAATTACTGTTTACATAAGAAAATTTTTTATAGTGTATGGGGAACAAAGCCTGAATATACTTCTAGTGGTTGATTATGTAGGATAAATTAATCTCTGCAGCCTAAAATGTTGGCCTTGGCTTAAATTATGTTTCAACAGAAAATTGTCTCTATTACATTTCAGAACTGTTGTAACTGGGTCTCTAGCTCAGAACCCTTAGACACATCAGTGGAGTCCATGCTGCCTGACTGTCCCCGAGTCTCAGCAGGTATGTGTTTGATGAAAAATGTGTGGATTTTTTTTAAGGTGAAAAAATATGCTAATAAAATGGGGAATTCTGTTTTGCGAATTAAGCGTGTTGTTCTGCCTTCAATCTTTGAATGAATTATTGGTAACATATGGCATGGGTCTGATCCGCTACCATAAATTTGCTAAGTAGCTGAAAATTCTTACCAACAACCTCAGTAAAGATGAGTAGGTGAAACAATTTGATAGTGATATAGACAGTTGCTGTAGTAGCTTAGGGAGACAAGATGTATATAAGTAAAAAGTTGATTGAGACAAGGACTAGCTAGGCATACAGGATCTCAGAGTATTTATCTCTGATTGAGTACCAATTCAGTGATACAACAGGCAGTCAAGGCGGTGAGTTCAGAGAAGAGAAATTGCTGTGGCCTAGAGTCTTCAGAAAAGTTTCTCCTGCAAAAGATTTTGGCTGAATCTTGTGTGTTAAACAGGATTTGGATTGTAGGAAGATGTGCAGGATGGCATTCTAGGCAAAAGAAACAGAGCAATGTAAGCAGTAAGGCTGGAATGGATCTGAAGATGTTCACAGAAAACTAAGGCAGGACTAGCCTGCCTATTGCAAGGAAAGAGGTGGCATGGTGAGCACCTCAGGAACCAGGTGGGCTCCAGACAGTTTAAGGATGGTACTGATTTCCAGCCTGCAGGATTTGTACCCTAGTCTCTAATCTCTACGTAAGCGGAGAGAGTGACATTTTTCATTGCTTTCTGGTTTTGGCTTTCACAATTCTCAACCAATTTTGATGGTAAACACAAAGTGAGCAATGGTACCTGGTTATGGCAACAGAACAGAAATGGGCTTGCTTTGGCCATTGATGCCAGAGAATAAGCAGAAGTTTTGAATACAGACTATTCTATATAAAATCATAGGAGATAGCTAATCACTAAGTACTCAGAGTTGCAGACATATTTACAAATTGGAAGGAAATAATTGGGAGAACAGTTCAAATACTAGGTAAAGAACTTTGATTATAACTAAATTTCACTATCATTAATACCTAAACTTGAACTGAGCTTCACTGTCATTACAGCTAAACTTTTAAGGTCTGTCAATCAGGGTTCAATAAGAGAAACAGACCACTAGGAGATATATATGCTACCATATATATACATATATGTGTGTGTATGTGTGTGTATTACACAATTGATTTCCTTTATTAGTGGTAGTTATATTCTATAAAGTCGCTGAGAACACTGAATTTGTGAATACTGAATCATTACTCCTAGGGGAAATACAGGGTTAGGTTCCTGCCAGCCAGACCAATTTTTCTTAGGACAAAACTTGCTACTCTCTCTAACCTTCTATTCTCTGTGGGTTTTTATTTCAACAAATTTGGCTTAAATCAGATTTCATATACACTTTCCCGCATATGTCCATTTCTTCGTCAGATGTTTATTGAGTACTTATTACGTTCCAGGCACTGTTCTGGAAACTGAGGACATAGCAGTGAACAAGAGCTTATCACATCTTTTTTTTCCCCAAAACACTAAAAAAAAAAAAAAAGAACTGTTTCCTGGCCCTCTGCTAGGAGGTAGGTTCCTCCTTCTGAAGGTGGCATCAGCGTAAGGTGGCATCAAATGAGAAAAGAATTAGGGCCAGCACTCCCCCAGCATTTTCCACACCTACTCAGAAAACTGAATGGTTTTTCAATCAAAATCAGGGATTTCCCTCAAAGAGTCCTTAAAAAATGTTGAACAAGGAGTATACCATGATCAAAATGGGATTTTAAAGAAGCTTAATTAAGTAAATGGAGAAAAGAAAGGAGCAAGAAGCCAGCTGCAGTAGACTCAGCAGGCTGTGACAATAAAGCAAATGTATGGGCTGATGGCATGAACTGGAGTGGTGGCAGTGGGAGCAGAGAGGATAGGAGAGCTAGAGCAAATATGACTCGGGCAGAAGCTACACTCCAGGATGATAAACAGATTGGGTGGAGGCAAAGGGAGAAGGAAGAGATGATAAGCTCCAATAAAAAGTAACTGGAGTAATGAAAGTATCATTACCAGAAGTATCAGGGAGCGGGAGGGGGGAAGTCAGTTAAGGGCAAGAGATGATGAAATTGTCTTGTGACTTACTTAATTGAGGTGATAGCAGTGGGAGTGATGGCAATAAATTCAAATGGAAATAGCCAAAGGTTGTTGAAGCATCTTTGAAACACCTGAAATTCTCTGATCTATAATCTGTTAGTGTAATTTAAAATGTTATTGTTATTTGAAGATTTCAACGTTTGTACTGACTACAAGATAGTAATGGATATCCAGACTATACATTCAATTTAGTGAAGTTGTTTTTTCCAGCTTTCTAAATTATGATGACTTTTTTCTTGGTATAATACGCTTTTGTGTTTTCACTAGAAGTTTCATGGTCAAAGCAGTGAAATTACTTGTAAAAACACATACTCATTTTGTACTGTATTTTTTCTTTTATTACTAAATATGCTTCCCTTTACAAAAAAAAAATAGACCTAGTGCTCATAGTAGCTTCATTTTATGAATGTTATTTACCTATGAATAAATATATAAATATATATATATTTTTTTTTTTGGTGAGGAAGATTGGCCCTGAGCTAATATCTGTTGCCAATCTTCCTCTTTTTGCTTGAGGAAGATTGTCCCTGAGCTAACATCTTTGCCAGTCTTCCTCTATTTCTATATGGGTCACCACCACAGCATGGGTTGATGGTTCGTGTAGGTCTGCACCTGGGATCCAAACCTGCGAACCCCAGGATGCCGAAGCAGAGTGCACAAACTTAACCACTACACCACCAGGCCAGCCCCTGAATATAGATTTTTAAAACGGGTACAATAAAATTTTTAAATTTTACTTAAAATATCACTGATAATTATTTTCGGTAGTCATATTGTTTTTATTTTTCTTTTGAAAGCAAATAGAATACTAATACTTGACAACTCCACATTTAAGAGTTGGCAGTATTGCACCTTGTATTTAAAATGAAGTCTGACTTTTCAGTTGTTGTAACATATAGTGAATGGTGGGTTTTGAGTGGTCTCGAATATATGTCAAGTGATGGTTCCCACTTCTTTCTGTTAATAGTGTTTCCTACCAGTAAAATTAGCCAGTTAAAAACACTGAATATATTCAGAGAATTACATAATAGGTTAATAGGATCTATGTTTACTGTATAGCCCACATTCTGATTGGTTGGTTGGTTGTTGTAAAATGATGACAGCAAATATCTGCCTCACTTATCTTGTAGAAATGTTATGAGGACAATTTTTATAGTATCTGAAGGGATATTTTGAGTCCATCAGAAGGAAGACACTGTAAAAATGTAATGAGGTAATACATATTCTCATTATCATTTTAGAATTTAAGGCTATCATTTATCTTAAAACTGTTAATGATTATCTTAATCCTATAGGAGTGAAAAAGCATTTGCAGAAATATTCTCCCTTCCATTTTCCTGTCCCTAATTCTAGTTTTAAATAACAAATGACTTAATTATTCATGTTTTCCTATGTTCTCTGTGATATTGATAAGGGTCCCAAAATATTACACAGAAACCAGGTCACAGGAAGATAGAAAATATAATGAAGAAAACAAAAGGAAAACCAGTAGTTGAAAGAAAAATGTTCAGTAGGACGTAGAAATCTGGAAACAGTAAAGCTGAAAGCGACATCGGGGTAGCAGTAAAGGTGAAATTAGAAATGATCTTGTATGGTGTGCTGCTCCCCCAAAAACAGCTAATAGGATTTTTGGCTCTGTACGAGGAGACATTCCCCCAAGGTGAAAGGAAAGCACAAAATGAATGTTTGAAAACAGACAAGGTTACAGAGCATTGACATCTTCTGACATCTTGCAAGTCTGAACACAGCCTGCTTGGTTGGCACGTAGCTGACAGGCTGCTCTTTGCCAGACTGGTTCTAACTGGGGCTAGGTTTGGGTAAGTGCTGCTGCTGAGGCTCCTGTACTTTCAGCCCTCCCAAATGTGCTTCTTATGCGCCACTCTGGGTGTGAGCATTCAGTCTGCATGCATTCATTCAGCAAGTGTTTACTGTGGACCAGATATCGCTCCAGGTGCCAGGGACAGAGTAATGAATTACAGCTGATAAAGATCCCACATGGAGCTTACGTTCTAGTAAGGGTGACAGACAAGATAAATAAGGAAAGTGTATGTATGTTAGATAATGGTAAATGGTAGGAGAAATATAAAGCAGGAGAGAAGACCTGAAGTATGTGTATTTGGAGGGGAGGATTTGAATTATTAGAGAGGTGGCCAGAGATGGCTTTGCTGAGAAGATGTCATTTCTAGGACATTCCTTCTAGTCAGAATTGCCGCCACCTCCCACTAATAAAGACAGTATTTGCCTGTCTGTCTTTAGAGATCTTTTTCCTGGACTTTAGGGTACGTGCTCAGTTCTGAAATGTGTGCCGTTATTCCTTCCAGCAGTCTCTTGTTCTGGATCCTTGAAAACCTGCCTTTCTCATCAGACCCACTTTACCAGTCCTCTAAGGCTTATGGTAACCACAAAGCATAGTTACCAGCAAGTTATTAAGATTATTCCACTCTTCCTGAAGCGACTCAGAGAGAAAAGTGTAACACGTGTACAGCCCTCTGGGGCTCACAGACAAGGCTGCTTATGTCCGGAGGTGAATGGACAGAGCCTCTCCTGGCTGACCTGAAGGGTGAGGGGAAATCAGTCTTTTGACACACCTGTGGTCACTTTACACCAGACACACAGGATGGAAAACTATTCCACAGCTTCCTTTTCCCACCTACCATTAAAGAAACACCTGAACCTAGATTCACTCAGACTCTGAGGTACAGATGTCTGATCCTCTCAACGTGTTTCCTCCCAGAACTTTTATCCATCTCATTTTTCCTCACCCTTGTCATGGTTTGAGACAGGCTTTTCTCTATTATTTCGGCTCACCTAGAACACTTGATGTAAATCAGGGCACCTCAAAATTAGAAAGATAACAGCATAATTATTGAAAAAAGAAGAAAGGAAAAAGAAAAAAAGAACCATAGTAGTGGTCTTAGGAGTTAAGAATTAAACTTGAAAACTTACTATATTTAGATAATTGTTTCTTGTTTCTGGATTTAGAAGAAGGGAGCCATTGATAACCTGTACCTAGCTGTCAAGCCCCATTTCTCCACCAGAACAGAAATTGGAAAATTAGCAATTTCTAGGTGAATTTGAATTGTAGAAAACCTGCTAATGTAACTTTAATTTTTCTTTATTTAAATAGTCCAGATTGACTGTTTACACTGACTTAACTTACTGAATATTTGCTAAATATTCACTTCACTTTATTGCTGAAAATATGTCTTGATGAAATGACACTAGGGAGTTCTCTCTCTTCTTTGTTAATGAATAATCGCTTCCTTCTAAAGATAGCAATGAAAAATCAACAGTAATTTCTTCTAGAGTGTGGTGTCATTCAGAATGTGTAGACAAGTTGAGTTGTCTAATATATTTTTAGCCACAGCTCAAATTACTTAAGTGATTGAAAATCTCTACTTTGCTTTGTAAACAGACCTTAAAATTCAAGGCATATTAGATATATGATGCTGGACCACTTTTTGACTACACATACTGCTCAAGAATTGTGGCATTCCTCTTTCCATTCAAAGGATATATATTCTAATCCTTTAAGTGATGTTTTCATTAACTAAATAGCACTTTTCAGGCAGTTTTTGTTCATTACTGTAGAATTGGCCTTGTAGCTGTTATTCATCGGGTAGTTTCCCTATTCGTTGTTCTGTGCTACCTTATAATTATTAGTTAATATCAGGGGTGAGTATTCTAAAAGTTGACCACCATAAGTTCCTGTGTTTTCAGTGAATCATTCATTATAATTAGCTGGAATCAGGAACTCTGGGGAAATAACTGATTAGAGAATCATTTAAAATAACCTATCTAAATCTGTGATGTTTGTGTAGATCACCAATATTTGCCCTGATTATGTGTACTTAGTCAGGTCCAATATTATCTGTGATTTTGACTCTCTCAGTTTTCCAGTAATCACAGCGAATGTAAGTAGTCTCACTCCAGAAATCTCACTTTAAAAAAAAATTAAAAATAGCCACCATGTTTTTTACAGCTTTCTGAACCAATTTGTGAAAAATCCTTCCAAGAATTTGGCAGTAAAGGTGACAACTCTCCTTTTACTCAACTAACTCTTCCCTTTAAAGATAAAAAAATGTAAAACTAATTATTTTTGGAGTGCTTTTGGATAAATAACAAAATAATACGAACTTGCATTTGTACTTGAAAATTATGAGTTAATTTGGAATAACTACTGTTGCTGTCCCCATAGCAGTGTCTCATAGCTCTTAATGCTGTGTCCTAATTATTGGGAAAGTAAGTTGAGGACCAGTGATAGCTGAGGCAGGAATACCATACATTAAGTATTGACCTCCCTTCCCACGACTGTCTGTGCCTCACTTGTCCTCTCTTTCTCTTTCCCTCTGTCAAGTCTGTCTGGGTCACTGTTCTTGATGGCTCGCTCTGTCTGCATATTGCTCTCTGACTCTCTTTCTCATCTGGTTTAGTCTCTATGTTTGACTCTTTTCGTACAGTTTTTGCTTCCCTGTCTTCCTGGCTTCCAGTCTCCCTGACCTAGAGACTCATTGTCCTGCAGCCTCTAGAATCTCATCTCCCCCAGCCCGAACCCTGCCTGCCCCTGTCTGACCTGTGTGGTTTGCCTGGGTCCACTGCCCTTCACTTCTCTTTGACTGCCTGATATGTGCCTCCCTCAAGCCACAAGGTCTCCGCTCTTGCCCACACATTCCCAGTCTGCTCCCATCTACACACCTTCCCTGCCTGCTCTGTCTGTCTTGTCACAAGACATCAAGTTACCAGTGGTAAATCTGTCTGCTGGCAAAAATACCCCCAAAACATTCATCTTCAGATAAACTGCATTGCTTTCTAGAAGTGATTCAGAGCATCTAAAATAAATATTCTTTGGTACTAAAATGAAAATTCCAAGTGAACATTAGGCACCATAGATAGGCGAAATATTTTCTATTTATAAAATCTCAAGATGGTCTAAGTTGATTATCAGCACTCTAAAAGCAGGGGTTTATTTTTTAAAGTTTTTGAACCATCGTATTCTTTAAACTATTGTCCTTCTTTACAGGAAAATAGTTTTATTTGATGACAAATTTTGAGAAATAATTTGTGTGGTCAATGACTTCAGTTTTTAAGTATTAAAATTAACTGATATATGTTGTCTATTTTTGAGAATTGGTGCTAGTATTTCTGCCTATATTGTCTGTTAATATGCCCTTAAACCATATGGGTCTCACCCCAAGTATTCGATATGTTATACCAGTAAATAAAGCACTCATATGCCAGCTAGTTTACAGATGTTTTGAATAATCTCATGGCACAATCCTTGACAGAATTCAATTGTATTACATAATTTCTTAATTTCTAAAATACTATAGAAGTTACCTGTTGAAAATTTGGGCAAAGAAACATAAACATCATTTAAAACTTTGTATAGCAATGATCTCTATAAATGAGACTTTTGTAAGAGACCCTAAGTTAAAATTTTCTAATAACCTTCTAAAATCAATCTTGGCTTAGAGATTCTTATATTTTTAGCTAATATTTCAGTTGTTCTTTAAAAGCAGCATGAATTATTTCAGATTTTTACTTTTATTTCCTTTTAATAAATTGCCTTCAAAGAAATTTAGTCTTCTTTCTATTTTAATTTATGTTGCAAAGTTACCATACCTTTCCCGCTTAGTTTCCAGAGGGAAAGTGGCTAAATTTAAAATAAGGCATTGTTAATTGAAGGCCACAAATACAAATGATTAAATATAACCAATATGTGGGAAGGCTATTTGTGGAAGCAGAGGATATGCAGTTTATAGTGGAAAACACAGTCTTCCATAGCCGTTGTGGTGCGGCACTTCTCTTATGAAGGGATAATCCTCCAGTGTTATTTGGTTTTGCTTTTCTTCAGAAACAATATCAAGCATGTAAAATCCACATAGGCAGCAAAGCTTAAATTTTAGAAAATCCAAATTTAATTATTTTTACCAGTTAATGGATTACTTTAATAAATTTGTTTCCCCTAAAATTTGAGCCTGATTCCACATCTTACCCCAAATTTGAGTTAGTCTTGGTTCTCTTGAGGAAAGAAACTAACTGTAAATATTTTTACTTCCAATTCCACAAAGATTATTCAGCATTTAATATGTACTAGGCACTAGTCTAGACTCTTAAGGGTATAAATATTGCTGGCCATGACTCTTGCCACTCAAGGAGCTCAGAGTCTCCTAGAAAGAAGTCTTCTGTTTATTGCAAAGGTTCTCTTTGTTCCTAATCATAGGATGATCATTGAAATAAGTGGGGTAGGGAGGAACGTTAAGGACTTATGAACTCATTCAGGACCAATGAGTACCTCTTACTTCACTGGCACCCGGCTTTATTAGATGGTACCCCACTGCTATCTAAGAGTTAATGCATCTTCTGAAAGTATCCCCCTTCCTTCCACACTGTTATGAGACTTTTTACTCTAGATACATGTTCCAAATGAATAGGTTACTTGTCATTTCAAACTCTTTAATGGTAGTAATTCAGCAGTTATGAAGAAGAGCTTTGGATTTATCATGATGGTGGGAAATTTGTATTCTCCCAGAAATGTGGAAAATTAATTCTATAATATGGCCAGATGAAGATCCACAATCACACTGTCTACAAAATGGGGGATAATACTCGTACCATCTTACTGGGTTACGGTTAGAATTAAGTGAACTAATCCGTATAGGACTATTAATATAGCACCTGGCATATAGTTAGGACTCAGTAAATACAGGTGGTCTTCCTTTTGCACAGTTCCAATATATACAAATTTCTGTTAACATAGTTTAGTTAAATAATACCAATCCCCTGAAAACAAGGTTTAAATTACAGTTACTGCAATATATTAACTGTGAATGATTGCATTAAGTACAAATCTCTATGTAAATAACAGATGCACATCATGATCAGTGGCCAATCATATCACTTCTTTCAAAATCTGTTACTGACCGATCACGTCATATCTGGTATTCAGTTCATGCACAGATAGTACTCTCTTCCATTTTACAAAAATGGATGATCAAAAGAGAAACTTGGCCAACAAAGATGAAAGTGCAGCAAAGACATGAAATGCTGGAAGTGAAATTGGAAACTCTTTGTGACGAAAAAGATGAAGATGTCCCAGAGGAAGTGATGCTAACAGAAAAACCCTTCACATCAAATGAACTCTCAGAGATATTTCACGACACTGGGAGTGCGAAGGATAAAATGTTGGAAGCTGATCCAAACTTAAGAAAATGACAATTTGCCAAGGCATAGAAAAGATTTGCTTGTACCATATCGTAAGTTATATGATGCGAAGGCAAGCACCATTCAAACTACCCTTAATAAGTTTTTTACAAAGAAATAAAGCATTTTAATTCTCAGTGTTTCTGTTTTAAATTACAATGTACTAAATAAAGTTAGTTTTACTATTTTTTCATTCCCCCAATCATTTTTAGCTGACAGTACGAGGATTTTTAACATTTTGACAAAAAAACACTTAAGGTCACAGAACAGTCATAGTTTTTCCCATTGATTATTGTGGAATTATTCCATGGTTTCTGCTTGTATGGTCATTTTTATAGTCCCACACTACCATACAAAGCAAGGACTTCCTATAGTTATCAGTATTAGAAATTATTTGTTCAACAAGTCAAGTACTATAGTTTTAGAGAAATCACTCCTTGCCTTTCAATATTTGAGAATTTACAACTTTCTGTAATTTCTCTCCTGCTTCTGTCTTTGTATTTCTAGATTATCTAAGTCCTGATTCTAGTCATGTCTTGTCATAGGGTTCCTCTCAGAGATTCCCACTGTATCTTCTACAGAAGTACAGTATTTAAACACCTAAATTTTCCTATTCTTTAGTATTCTACCTTATTTCTTTATTCTCCTGAATCTGCTTAAATTGCAGTGACGCTTTCCCCTTCATTCTTCCTGCTAATGTCCTATTCGTCCATCCTCCCCTTCAACCCCTGAAAGCCTATCAGTTCTTTAATACATTGTCTTCCTTTCAAAATGACACCTGCCCTAGAACATATCCTTCTGAGAAACTTCTTTAAATTCATTAGTTTCTTCCTTACATTTCATCTACATTTCTGTCAATCATAAAGGATAATGTCTTTCTTGAATTTAAATTATTACAATAAATTCTATGTAAGCAAAATGTAAAATTCTAGCTGGAAGCCCAAGTTAACACTTGCCAATGATGTCATGATTGGCAACAAAATAAAAATTAAAAATAAATTCTGTCCATTTTCACTATGAACCCTTTTGTACTTCTTGAACCATGTGACTGTATAGTTGAATATTCAAAAAAGTAATGAGTGAAATTTACATTAAATAAATAATGATAATTGAAATCACGCTTTCCATTTTCCACTCACAGCTAGTTTGATATAATTGCTTACTAGAGTTCAGAGGCTTTCAGAAGATGAAACCTTTATCTGCCTGATGTTATCCACACACACATAGAGTGAAAAGCAGGCTTCTGGGAGCTGCAGTGGACTCTAGACCAATAAATGTGGATTTGGGCATGAGTCCTTTGCTCAGAAGAGAGCCTTGATAGCCTGGTTGGTTCTCTTTAAGACCTTTGGAATCATAGTGAGGTGACTTTGGAAGAGGATTCAGTTTTATCAGCTGACTTAACTGTCTCACTGTCTAAAGCCAAGAGCTTTGTCAGGTCTAAAATGCTAACAGTTTTCAATTTACACGTTCAGATAAAGTTACTATACTGGAACTTACAATTTTAAGTCTGGTACTACGTCTTGAATTTTCCATGGTCATTACTGCATTTCATATTACCTAATACAAGTGTTCATTTTTCCAAAAAAGGTGTGTCTCTCTTTGGCTTGTTTCAGTTTATAGATTCTTAAAGAGATTCCAGGGAAATTCACAGAGGCCCCAAACTTATAATGGTAATGGCACTGATATCAATCAATTTGGAATCTCTTTAACAAAAAATAATTCTCACAGCACCTAAAAGAGTTCTCTCCTGTAAACACATTCTATTCTACTTCTCATTTGCTTCTCTGAGCCCATGTCACATCCTGAATTTCTGGTTTCACTGGTCGTAAGCTGTCGTTTCTGTTAGGTGTATTTTACTATACAATATAATGGAAATATTTTTGTTAAACAAGTTGTGTGTTCCCTGCTCTAAAGTGTAAGCTGAGTACAAATTTGAATGTAGAAGACAGTGAGTGCACCATGACTAGAGTAATCAATGCAAGAACATCTTTAAAGCTTTTCTTCTGTAACAAGGGCAAACTCAGCTAAAAAGTTTGTTTAAATCCTGCTCGGCATAACAAGAACCTTTAAACTTTATCTGTCTGTGACTATCTATGAATACACCTGACTCATCACCTGGTGCCTTTCAACTCAGCACTCCTCACCTCAGCTGCTCTTCCTGCCTCATCCAGATATTTAAAATTCTTTGAGGACTTCTTGTGAAGGCTGTAGGGTTTTTATGCTTAATATTACTTTATAGGACAGAAACTTCGTAGTTCATGAATATCACAGATCTATAAAATGAAATGGAAGGATTTTCCCTATATACTGTAAATCTCTTTGTAATCTCTGTGTGGTTGTGTCATATCAGAAGCTTTTATTTCTAAGCAGCAATTATATCAGAGCAGTGTCATTTTTAAGTCCTTCATAATCTGAAACGAGGAAATTCTATGTTGGCAGCTCTACTACATTCCAGTTTTTCTCTACATATTTTATAGGAGTAAAAACATCTCGTGTTGCTGTTATTCACAAATGGCTGTCCTTTTGCCCATGCTCTTGTCCTCTGTTATCCCCTGTGCAGAACAGTGCTATTGCTATCTATTTTGTAATATCTCATAGAGCAATAAATGATTCTATTTAGTGATGACATTGATTTGATTAACTCCTTGTCCATGTTATTACAACTTTAATGTTGTTCTTGTGTGTACATTACCTTCAGGTATCAGTTTGTCTAACTGCATAACTTGTCTTTGATGTTTCACTTTGTCTTACACAGTTTTCTACTTAAAAATCTCCACAATGGATTAACAGTTTAATCATTTCAGTGTATTCTGAGGTAGTTTTCAGTTAACTAAATTGTCTTAATGTGTGGTGTTAACGCTTTCACTGTGAGGTGGGCGGCGTCATTCCATACATACTCAGCTGCCACAGTTTTGCTGGATTCCTGACTTTGGTCCCTGACTAATGTGGTTCTGAGGACCTACACTTGCTCTGCTGCTGACAGTGCCCTTATGCCCTGATGTCTGGCTGGTGCTAAGTTACTAGAACACCTGCAGAGTGGGGAAACTATCAAATTAGCATCACGTAGTCTGCCTTCTCCTCTCTGTTTGACTTGTACCTCATTCTTAGATGTTCTGGTCTAGTCTGTTGATTTAATCACATTCAAAAAGTGTGTTTTTTTGGAGACTCTGCTAGAGGAATGAAACTTCTCATATATTCTTGAACAAAGCCCTGACCTCCTTCTGGAGCGTGAGCAGCTTTGGGAGAGATGCATTTGGAGAAATAAGGAAGCACGGACCACCTTCCTGGCCAGTGAGATAATTGATCAACATGATGATGTAAACCAAAGCCAGATCTCCCTCACATCCAGGTGTTTTTATGCCCTTACTGTACTTGGAGCACTGTGGATAGCTCATGCATTAGCACACTGTTTGGCCCATAAGTACAAAATAAATGGTATCTGTAATGTCCATTTGGGAGGTTCCATATGCCCCAGGTGGAGAGCTAAGACATGAAACTCCAGCTGATTGTTTAAGGCACCCAATGTATCTGAGTGGAAAGGCAGTAAGTTCAGAGCAGAGGGAGATCACTGTGGTCCCGAGTGTTTAGGCAAAGCTTTCCCAAAAGATGAAACTTGAACCAAGCCCTATAAGGATGTTTATTATTAACTTTGCCTCCACTGTTTCTTGCTTCTTCTCATTAGTGGATCTTGGCAGTTGCTTTTGCCATCTTAGAATGGGGCATACTTAAGGAAAGCCTAATACTATAAATCCTGATACTTTGTGTATTTCTGCTTAAAACTTAACTTCTCTTAATTCCAAAGGGCCTAATAATAGAAAACTAGTAACTTCTCTTTGGGCAAATGTGGCTGTCCTGCTCTCCTGACAGTTTCTCTTCTCCCATATTTAGATTATAAATATACAGGGCCTGGGACCATGTGTTTCTTATCCTTGCTTTGTAATTCCCTATGGATAAGACTGGCCTGCTTCTTACATTGTAATCTAATCACTTACTAAGAGGTCTCTGTATTTGTTGAAGGTGATGGATTAGCCTTTCAAACACCCCAGCCCAGACGGTGCTGGTTGTCTTGGGCATTCCCATCACCTGCCTTCCTCTGATCTCTATTTCTGTTCCAACCAAATATGCTCCTGCTTTTTTTCCCTGATCACTCCATTCCCATAGCACATTACATATACTTTCAAGAAAATGTCAAGACTTCCTTTAAAAATATGGGCTATTTGTGACAGCACATACGCATAAACCAGGAGATAGGCACATTGGCGAATGAGATCTGATCAAGTACAGACAGAACCTTAATTGAGAGCACCCAAATTAATTTTGAAAACCATCAAGTTAATATAGCCTTACTTTTTAGTTTAGTAAATGTTTTTAGCTACTATGTTTTAACTCAGTAAACATAATAAAGCTTTCCTCAAATTCAGTTGAACTCACTCTTTTCCAATTTACTGAAAACATATTTATTCAACTATTGTTTTTAGACAACTAATGAACCTTTTCTCTGTGATTCTCTTTTGCAACTGGGCTGGTTTCAATATGTGGGCCTTAACTGATACAATAGGTCCTTTATTCCTCTTTGTGATCCACCTTTCATTCTGTTTCGCAGACGCTCCTTGGTTGCTTTGTAATTTTGAAAAAGTAGCATGTAGGCATACCTGGCAAGAATAGCTATCAGCAAAATGATTCTTAAGTGAAATTTTGTGTATTGTAAATTGTCTTTTCATAGACTATCATCTTGAAACCTAACTCAAGGCAAATATGGCCACCTTTACCATTAATGCTGCAGAGATTCATTTATTTGACATTAAACAAATATTGACTTCCCACTGTGTGTCAGATAAGTTCCAGGAGCTGAGAATCTAGCAGTGAACCAGACAGACGAGGACCTTGCTCTTTACCAGCACACATTCTAACTAGAGTTGTAGTGGAGATGCAGACAACAAACAAATGATCAATAACACAGCCTGTAGAGATGACAGTTGACTTCCTGATTCTTCTTTTTCTCTCTACCGTTGCTTCAAGGCCATATCTAAAACCTCATTGCCTGTAATGTTGAGATGAATTTACTCTCATAATGCTACTGCCCCCATCTAGTAAGAGGTGTTTAAGGGCCTTGTTCTAGTGCAGGAGAGAAGGGATGGAGAGGTGCCTGGGAGGGTCAAGTTTCTCATTATTAAACTGGAACTAAATGTGCTTTGCTCTCAGAATTGTAAAGGTAAGGATTCATTCACTCATTCAGCAAACATTTATTGAGCAGCCTATCAGTCAGGGTTCTATTATGTTCCAGGCTTTGTAACACCTACTGCATGCTGTTAAGTACCTCACACTCTAGTTGGAAAGACAGAGACATAAAAGAAATAATTACTGATAAATGTTATCATAAAAACATACATCAAGTACAAGGGGAGTAGCACAAAGCAGTAACTAACTCTGCCTGGGGGAAGGCTTCGCCATAAGGTGACTTCTAAACTGTGTCTGAAAGATGACTGGAAACACGGCATGCTTCATTTATTCAGGAAATGTTTACTGAGTGCCTTCTGTGAGCCAGGCACAGTTGTAGGCACTGCAGACACAGCAGTCAACTAGACACAGTCCCTGCTCTCTTGGCAGCAGAGAAACAGATAATAAACATATTAGACAAATAATTATATTAGGTGGTTAATAAAAGGAACAGAGAGTGATAGGGGGTGCTGTTTTAGATAGAGTGATCAAGGAAGGCCTCTCTAATGAGATAACATTTGAGCAGAATCCTGAATGATATGAGAGAATGAGACCAAGAAGCGCGAGGAAGCCATTTCAGACAGAAGGAACAGCATGAATGAACAAAGGCCTAATAGTCACGAAAAGCGTGGCATCTTTAGTGCAAAGTGAGATATTCTCACTAAGCCTGGGGTAAGATGGGGTGCAGGGAGTTGGGGAGAGTATGGTAGATGAGACTGGGAAAGAAGGAAGGAGGGGAGGGAGGGAGGGGCCAAATGGTGAAAAGCCATGTGTTCCATACTCAGGAATTTCAGCACTCACCTTGTTGATTGGGGGAAGAGGAGTTAAATTTTGAAAAAATTTTAAGAGGAAATGACATGGTGAGATTGTTGTTTGGTTTGGTTAGGTTTGGTTCAATTTTTGGAAATTACCTCTAGCAGCAGTATGCAAGATATACTTGAAAGGAGAAGCAGAAGAAGTCAGTTACAAGGTTATTATTATGTGGCCTGAATTAAAACAGTCAAATGAGGCTAGAGAGGAGATGGTAGAGTTCAGATGTTTTAGGAGACCCACTATGTAATATTTGGTGCCCTACAGAGTATGGGAAAGGTCAAGAACCATTCCTAGGTTTGAGCTTGGGTGACCGAGTGAATGATGATGCCATTAACCAGCTCAAGGAGCCCTAGAGGAGTGGCAGGTTTAGAAGTACAGATAATGAATTTGACTTGGGGCAGTAGGAAATACAGAACTGGAAATGAGAAGAGAAGTCAGAGCTGAAATACAGATTTGGCTGTTACCAGCATTTCATGGAAATTTAAAAAGGAGGAGGAGCAAGAAGAGCAGCCAGCATTGTAAGATACTGCAGAGAAGTTTAATAGGACGAGAATTTTTAAAAGCCCATCGGATTTGACAGTTGGAAGGTCAGCGATGACTTCAAGATGACCAATTTCAGTAGATGTAGGTGGGGCAGAACTACATCAACGTTGAGTTGGAGAGTGAAGGAGTAAGAGACTGGGAATGTCCAACCAAGGTCACTGTCTTTCTGTTTTCCCAAAGCTCCTCCTTGAAAACTTTGAACCTGAAGTCAGATCTTCTTCCCCCTCTCCCCTCCTTAGCTTTCTCCACCCAGGGCCTAGGACTCGATGCCTGAGCTGGCGACATGATGGAGGGACAAATATTCTAAGATCTTTGGGTCTCTGATGGGAGATGGGCCGGGGATAGGGGAACCTGGTGTAGGTGAGTCAGGTATTTAGAGAGCATCTTCAATGGGAAATAGCCAGTCCAGAGACCTGTCTCCAGAGGGGGAGAAGGATGGTACATGTAGGTCTCTATTGTGTGTGGAAACTCTAGACCTAGAAGCTAAGGTAGGATGGAGAGCAAAGGACTTGAAAGAAAGATGGAATTAGTCAAGAAACTCAGTCATAGGGAGAGAGTGGAAGCTGGCAAAGTGTGTGGGTGGGGGTAGATCTGACAGTAAACTGATATTAACTAGAAATTCAGGCAAGGATGCTTAGGTTTCTTAGGGCACAGGGACTGAAGAGGTGCAAAGAAGGCAGTACTTGTGACCATAAAGATAGCAGTGAGGGGACAGTTGATGAACTGAAGGGTAGTTCCCAGCAATACCTGGCATATAGATGTCGAACAGATATTTATGAAGTGGAAAGGGATGTTCAGATTCTGTGGAGGAAAGGGATTAGATACCAGAGTTCCTGAAGAGCTGTAAGTAGATGCCTAGGTTCCCTTCAGGGAAAGGATGGAGGCAGTGACTCAGGGATCCCAGACAACTTGGAGGTACAAAGCCCAAGAGGGAAACTTGCACCCCGGAGGGAGTTGGAAGCTAAGTTCAGAGTAGGGGACGCACTCCCTTAAGCCACGGGACGCAAGGAATTGCCACTGAATCTACCAGATTTCTCCACCACCGCCTGTGCACACCCATGGCCTCAATTTCTCTCGCCTGCACCGCTATCTCCGCCCACTGAGGGGCGGGGCTCGAGGGCAGGGCTGGTGGCTGTTGGAAGCCTCGAGAGCTGTCAGTTCCTACCAGACTCCCTGCTCCCGCTGGGGTGTGGTCTTACCCCATGGCCAGTCACAGGCCCTCAAACTTCTCCCCACTGCCAGGCAGTGGCAGGGACGGGCTGACCCTCCCATCTCATTGAGCTCCCAGGCGGCCCCTGGTAGGCTGATGGTCTGGCCAGGGGTCGGGCCAAGGGTCTGCCCGGGCCCTGGGGTGTGGAGGGTGCCCCTGGGTGCCCTGCTGTATGAGTTCCTGGGCAGGATGGCACCCTGCGGGCCCCAGCTCACAGCTGGCAGGGCGGGGGCCTGGTTCCCGGGCCCCTCCGAGGCCGCCTTCCCCGGGCCATACATCGTCCTTCGCTGCATCCCAAGGTTGGCGCTTCCAGAAGACGTCTCTGCCATTGAGAAAGAGATGGCGCAGCTGGCCAAGGAGCTGAGGCAGAAGAGGATGACCCTTGGGTACTCGCAGGCCGACGTTGGGTTCGCCGTGGGGCCTCTTTTTGGAAAGGTCCTTAGCCAGACGACCATCTGCCGCTTCGAGGCCCAGCATCTCAGCCTCGCCAACATGTAGAAGCTGCTACCGCTGCTGAAAATGTGGCTGGAGGAAGTGGACACCGAGAACCTTCTGGGCTTATGCAACATGGAGACAATCCTGCAGCAGGCTCGGAAGCGGAGACGGGCAAGCAGGGAGACTCGCATCGGAAACTCCCTGGAGAGAGTCTTCCTGCAATGCCCAAGGCCCACACCGCAGCAAATCAGCAGCATCGCTGGGCAGCTCCGGCTGCAGAAGGACCTAGTCCGAGTTTGGTTCTATAACCGGAGCAAGATGGGCAGCCAGCCAACCAATGATTTCTCCCCACCAGAGGAGGTGGGGGCAGCTGGCTCTCCTTTCCCAGGGGGACCAGTGTGCTTTCCCCTCGCATTGGGGCTCCATTTTGGTTCCCTCCACTGTGGGGGCCCATACTTTACACCCTTGTACTCCTCCACCCCGTCCCCTGCGGGGGTGCCCTCCTCTCTGCCCCGACCACCACTCTAGACCTCCCCCGGCTTTGAAACTGAGGGGCCTGTCCTTATGGGGGTGGCCATACTAGTCCCTGAGGTTGATTACAGGGCTTTTAGCGTCAAGTTCTCCATTCACTGTGGGAAGAAGTTAAGAGTACTAGGGGATGAGGGTGGGAGTTATTTGGGAATATTATGGGGTCGAGGTTGAAATTTATTGCTGCTTTGTGTTTTTCCTCTTGTTTTTGCCTAGCAATGGTTTTAAGGTACATTACAATACTTAGATGGTTTCGGATATTTGGTTTCTCTTTTAATTAATTGAAAATTGTGTCTGTTACTCCTTGTGGTGATCAGTAAACATAAAATTTATTTTTTTCTTATAAACACGATATTGAGTGAAAAATTCAAAGTCACAGAAGACTGTTTCAGTATACCATTTGTGTCAACAACGAGCAGCACTTTGTGTAAACACAAACACGAAGTCCAGGAGAATAGTTTCCTTCAGGGGAAGGTTTGAGGATGAGATAAGAAATGAGTACAGGGAGCCCACCCAGAGCGCTGGCTGAAACACAAGTTTTCTTGTTCTTTGCCTTTCTTGAAAGATGCATTTTTTTCTTATTCACTTTTTCATTTAGAATGCCCCAGCTTTAAGTGAGGGTCTCAGTTCAACCCTCCACCTTATGCAGGCAGGTTTATTGCCTGTCCTGCCACACACAGTTGGTGTATTTCAAACCCCTTTGTTACTGAGATTGGCAGCTCAGCCCCAACTCCAGCTCTCGTTTTCAGCTCCATTTGGTTTATTCCCTGGGAATTTCCCTTACTTTCTTTTGAGCTCAGATGTGCTTTTTTAGAGGAAATTAGTGATAGGTGATCCAACATTCCCTGGTGACTTCTGCAATGGTACATCTTAATCAATTTTCCAATCTCTCCTATGAAATTGATCTTTTCCAGTTTTCTGCTTCTGCATTGGTCAGTTGGGGTCATTATACACTAAACAGCAATCATTAATCCCTCTCTATTGTCACATCTGCTGCCATACACTTGCATGTGATATTTATTGTATAATTCTATCACTCTTTATTATATCTGAGTTTATGTCTTCTTCTTTGCTAACTAATCTTGTCAGTTTTTTCCTTCTCTGCTTTTTTCTCCTTAATCAGTCTTACAAAGAATTTATGTATGTGTTTTCAAAGATCAACCTTGTTGATTTTTATCCTATTTATCCTATTTACTACTGTTTTTATTTCCTAATTAGTTGATTTTAGCTTTTACTTTTATTAATTGCTTTTTTCTAGTGTCTTCTGTTTTCCTTCAATGTATATTTTTTCTTCTTGTCAGTGCCTGAAGATAGAACACTGACAGTACACATAGGTTAGTAAAGGGAAGCCAAACTTCAATTGCTTGGCTTTAGATTCAGTGGGTGACTACTCACTTACTCTTGGACTATTCCTCTAAAAGTCACACAGCACCAGTCCCATTCCTTCCTTTTGCTAGACAGCTCTTCTGGAAAGCCTTGGAAGGGCGATATTTCTGCAGAGGCTCAGGCAGTGTTGAATGCCAGGATGGACAGTTGTGATTGCGCTGTGAGCATTTAGCTCCTAAAAGCTGTGAGGAGGCTCTGACCCAGGCTCCTCCTTGAGTTCTTCAGCCCCTGCAGATGTGGAGAGACACTAACGGGCTCTCAGTGTCAGGGAACAGTTCCACGGGTCTGCCTCAGCACCCTGCATCATTCACACAGCTGCCACACCTCTGCTTAGGTGAGTACTGGTGTGTGTCTCTGATCAGCCTTCACATAATTTAAAATGAGATTTTCCATCACAGGTCCTCTTGACTTGAATGAAAAGAGAAAAGGCTGGGCCTTGATATTTAAAGGATTTCATATTTTTCAGAGATTTAAGATTGATGGATATAAACCTTAATAAGATCCCTCAAAACTGATAAGGAACCACCCTTAGAGTTGGGAGAAAACCAAGAGTGTGTTGTCAGTGGTTAACAGTGTCAAATGTACAGAGATCAAGTAACATAAGAAATCAGGCCCGGTCGCGCAGTGGTTAGGTGTGCACATTCTGCTTCAGTGGCTCGGGGTTTGTCAGTTCAGATCCCAGTGCAGACATGGCACCTCATGGCAAGCCATGCTGTGGTAGGCGTCCCACGTATAAAGTAGGGGAAGATGGTCATGGATGTTAGCTCAGGGCCAGCCTTCCTCAGCAAAAAAAAAGAGGAGGATTGGCAGCGGTTAGCTCAGGGCTAATCTTCCTCCAAAAAAAAAAAACTAACATAAGAAATCAAATAAGATATATCATTTCACTAATAAAGATGTCACTGGTACCTTTAGTGAGAACAATTTCAGTGGAGTAGTTAGTGGAGGCAGATGCCAAACAACAGTCCAAAGTCTTCATCTTTGCCAGATCCCCCCTTCCTCAATTAAAAACATGAGTTCTAACCACTCGCTCAATAGAATCTTCACTGTCATTCTGAAAGTATTTCCTTTATCTTGTGTTTCCTTTAGACAAGTCAGGTCTTCTTAACCTGAAGACGCTAAACTCCTCAAGAGTATAATCAGAATTGTGTGTGCATACGTGTGTTTTCTTTAAAGATAGGGATGATAGCCTTCATCATATTTTCAAAGGGGACTATGACTCTTGTAGATCTACAGTTTCAGAATTTAACAAACACCTTCCATTTGGCCACCTTACTTTCAAGATTTTCCCCTGCCCGGGCCCTGTCTAGTAGGTAATTCCCAGTTTTCTTTGAATTTGTATTTTCTGGGTATCTCAGTGTAGTATAAAGGCCCTGAATCACTTCTTGCATAAGTCTTTCACATGCAGACAAAATGTTGTATTCATTATTGGCTTTCTTGTTCTTATATTTTTATCAATCCTTGGCACTTTAATTTGATTCCTATCATAAAGAACAATTTCTCCTCTTCCTGGAAGTTTTTCCATCTATTGTCAAAACTTTGAAGTGTTAGGTTATCCTCCCTTATTTTAAAACATTATCTTGCTCTTGAAATAGCATCTGTTTTCTATAATTTCATATTTTTGAAATATATATACTGTACATCTTTGTTTATTATACTAAAACTATGTCACAGGGATTTATTTTTCAGAATAGCCACTTTTGTTTATGGCTTTCTTCTAGAAATAGTCTTGCTTACTAACCAGTATTGATTTCCTTGACAGAATCTATTCATGACGAATTCTTTTCAGGGTGCAAAATTGTATTATCCATATAGAACAATGTTTTTAAGATGAAAACTATAATGCCATTCAAATAAAATCCTAGTGGAATGTGGGAGTGGTACTTAGCAAGGTGATTCTAAACTGAAAGAATGAAAGTTAGGGAAATAAGGAAATTCTGAAGGTAAAGAGTTAGGGTAGCCTTGTCCTACCAGATGTTGTGAAACTACAGTAATTTAAACAGTGTGGTGATGATGATGGACAAATTATCAGAAACAAATATTTGGCTATTCCGTTCATGGGAATGTGAAGTGTACAACCTTCGTGAAAGGCTATTGGGTAATTCATATGGGAAGTTCTTAAAATGTGCTTTCACTTTGGTCCATCATTTCAACTTTTAAAAATTTTTATAAGCAAATAATTGTATTTGTGTGCAAAAATTTAGTGATAAGGGTGGTCATCACAATATTTTTTTTTTGTTTTAATAACAAAAAGTTAGAAACAACCTAAATGTTCAACAAAGGGTTAAGTAAATAAAAAGAAACACCATATACAGTAAAAAGTGTGTTATGGAACTACAGTTTTTGACAAACAGAAAGTTCAGAATAGATTGTTGAATGAGACAAAACAGTTTATTAAACTTTATATCAGTTTTTATTTTTTAAGGAAAAAGGTATATTACATTCAGAAAAAAATGTGTATATTGGTCTTGTTGGTGATTTTTAAAAAAATTTTGCTATATCTATTATACGATTAAAAAATCCAAGCAATATCTCTAAAGGAAGGCTCTAGGAAGTCTAGGGTTCCTAAAAATATTTGTTCTTTCAGCCTTTTTTGTCTCTAAAATGGTAATTTCTCATTATAAAGCAATATTTTAGGATAATAAATCTGACCTTTTCATTTTTAGTCTGATTTGTAGCCTCTGTAAAAGAAAGGCAATTCTCTAAATGGAGGAGTATTGGGACATATCAGTTAGGAAGACATTGCTAAAAATTAGGGGTTTTTTATTTAATCAGATGCCCATTAATGTTAAAGAGCTCTAGTGTAGCTCCGTGAGTGAAGACACCTGCCATATGTCTGTTTTCCTGCACAACATGGTAATTTACAATTACAATTAGTGTGTTTACATACCTCAGTGTAGTGAACCCATATTTAGAATATAATGTAAGCCCAGATCATTTTCATCTTTCTGAATGTTTACTTTCAATTTTAAAAAGCATTTGAAAATATCGAAATCCTGGTTTTATCACAGTAGAATCCTCCCTGCTTGTCATATTTGAAGAAATGAAATGAACAGAAATGAAATCTGTGGATTTCTAGGTTTGAAGGCAGGGTCAGTTCCTGTGATTACAGCCCCAGCCAGTTGAAAGATGAACCGTCATGAAGTAAATCCACCCCGATATCCGGTAAAATCCTTAAAACAAGGCATTAGCGTTATCTTGGTTACATCAGAAAAGAGAAACATTACAAGAGGCTTTGGGGGAGATTGACGTTTTACCTGAAGCGCTGCCTCCAGAAAACAATCCAGCATGGAGGGCCTTTGGGCTGCCGCTCCACCACCTCACTTTTAGCTGGGAGCTCTGCTGTGAATTCTGCCAAAGGCAAAATTAGCTACTTTGGCATTGAACGTAGGCTTCTTAGTTTTCTTCCCCCAGCTTCCAACAAAATGACGAAATACAAAACAGCTTCATTTATTGCTATTGACTCTTCTGCTGACTGCCTGCCAAAGAGGATGGTTGGAAGAGGAAAATTTGAGGCCTTCCTGAGAATTTACTACATTTTAAATTCAATATTCCCTTCTAAAGCTGTGCAACCTGTTATGTCATTTCTTCTTCTCTCAAAGAAGTAACTGTATTATTTAATAATTAGTCCTCTTTTTCCTTCTAGGATGTATTGTGTAGACTTTGTTTTAGAAGTCGGTACAGAGGCCAAGACAGTGTATCAGATGCTTTAAGTTGATTTATTATCTTAGAGTGAAGGATGATGCTCCTGGAACAGTTGTAAAACTTTTAAGATTATTGAGTAGTGATCAAATCTTAACATATGCCTTTTTTGTGGAAAGAGAATTTGTTTCAATATTTCATGTATTTGTTTGCTGGGGCTGCTGTAATAACGT